AAGTAAGTAGTTATTAAATTGCAAAATGTTAACTATAGTCAGCGACGACGTCCACCGCATACCGCACGAAGTGGACGTGCACCAATGACTTGCGCGTGATTTAGCTTATGGGGAGGTAAACTTGTTAAGCATCTACCATACTCTCTCCTTCTTCACCCACCAGGCTCTGATTGCAAGACAACATGAAAACAATCAAAGGTATATTGGACGCACCTACTTCTAGACCTAAACAGCCCTTCTATGTGCGCTACACACACTGCCTAGAGCCCACTACAAGTACCATGATTCGGTAAGGCGTCTCGAATATTACATAAGTAGGAGTACCATAAAAACGACAGTTAAGAAGCTCTCAGTCTTCCGGCAAATCACCCCCGCTTACATGTGGTACTGCGTCTGAGGAATGAGTCATCCCATTAGTTAGTAGCCTTACAAGCCACCACTTCTAGCGCGTTGTGGAAAACTCAAACGCTTCAAATTTATGATTACTGAGGAAAGTGCTTTTATGCCGTGGGGGTGTATTATCTAGTGTCGACCTCAATTTCTCTTGTGCCATACATCGGTCCATCGTTTGAGTCTATTAACCATCTGGCGGTTGAACTGGGTGCAATCCACACACATCTTACTATTAAGTGTCCTTTGTCGGTTTCCCTACGTTCAGTTCCCCTTATTTTGTGGCCACTGAAACTGTCAAAAGGCTAAAGTTCTTGAATTTTGCCAATGTTATGGTGTACTGAGTATTTTTTTCGGGCTAATTTGCAAGGGAAATGCCCCGTTGTGCCCTGGAGCCCTCGCAGGGCGTCGTTCAGCGAATTACAATATATGTTAATAAGGTAGAATCTACAAAGACAATGGCGACCGCAATGAAAATTTCTGGCTTATTAGACGTCATCAACCAGTCATATACAGTTAGCTCATAAGCTAGAAATGGCCATTCCGGTGGCCCTTGTCTTTGTTGGTTCCACGAACCCTCATGGAACAATGCATTTCGAAAATCACTCCTTCTACCTGTTGTCGTTTGCCCCAATTTATTGCCCTATTATAGATCATAAACGTTCAAAATTGTTCTGCTATTTAAGTTAACCTACAAACTTGACTGGATGTGCCGGTTTTCACGTGAAGCTATACTTTTGTATGTAATAAAATCAACTATAAGTTTGTACCTTACGAATAAAATGCGTTGCACACATACGCCTTCAATTCTGTCTTTTAAAGTAGCTTTCTTATCCGTACCAACGCCTTTATTAACCTTATTTATTCTAGGACCTTCTGATCCCGTTGTCAAGGAGACTTCGCCATCTAGAATTGTGATCATAAACTCCGTCTCTTCCTCGAAACCAGTCTCTGTCGCTCCACCCCCAACCGACATTGATGGAAGTGACGATGATGCGGAGGATGTTGAGGTCATTCTATCGAGGTACTTAGCTTCCAGCAATGACCTTAGTCTAGCTTGTGTCCTTTTCCCTAACCGCGTTGGCTGTCTCTCTTTTTTTTCCATCATTTCCTTCCTGTCGCCTTTTTCAGCGTCGTTTAATTTGTTTGAAAATGAATAGTAGCAGCTACTTCTGGATCTTGAGTCCTACCCCTCTGAAGTATTTTCATTTCCTCCTTGGAGGAAAGATCCAGGTCCCGTGAGAATGACAAGAGAAGCACATTTTCAATGGAATTGACCTGCCCAGATTTCCTCGATACCTCTCAGTGATTTTGTATACCAGGACGATCATTAATATACCTGGTCGTTAGTTGTAAGTATTAAAGACCACTTATGTCTGTATGCCGCGGTAATTTTTATTTAAGTTAGAGTATACTGATTGTAAGTTATTTTGCTGCAAGCCAGAAGTACCATTACCATTCCGGAGATGACACGGACATGGTATACGCGTAGTTTTTTTTTTATAGTGAAGCAGACTTCTGCTGCATCCACCTTACTTTTCCTCATCTCTCGCTCACAGTTTTTCAGTAGAGAAGCAGTCCAGACGACCACAAACGCGATCAAGTTGATAATGCCTAAAGTTCCGTCCCTCATGAAACATTTTTGGTCCCAATTTAGGTCTAAAGACGCCGTCCCAGTGTGGTGGCTCATCCTTTTCCTACAGAGCTGGAAGAGTGCACCATTTTGGTCGAAAAATTTCGCGAACTGTTCTATTGACTGATTCCTTGAACTTATAATAAATTACACTGCTGGCGTCTTCTGGCCTTATGGTTCCCGCGCCTGTGCGATGACGATTCAGGTTCATTATAGAAATGTCACGGCTACCACCACTGTTTTAAGTGACATGACTATCGCGAAGACTTGAGGGACGTGTACGACGACGAATCCGGACAATTTTATGCTGTACAGTCACCGCAACTTTGCTACAGACCCTTTTGTTCCACAAATCTTTTGCGACATCTCAGCAGCTGTACGAGAATTCCGTACAACTCGAATTCCAAGTAATATGGGACATGGAACCCGCAGTAATGTCCAACATAGTCTTTTACTGAATACTACTAATCAAGCTATAAAACTACCCTTATCTTGGAGTAACCTTCCCAGAAACCACGTCTGAGATTTAGTTGACTTTATTATAGTCCATTTTTACTATTTCGACGTTCTCACAGCTCAAATCCGTGCGTGCGCACAACTAACTTCGCTAAGCCTTCCCCAAAATCCTCTATCTTCAACCGGCTGGGTGCTGAGTTGCCGCAACCGTCGGCCATTCCGCAGCGGCCGAAACCTGTCACTGCCGCCTTGGCGAGATTTCTCCCGAGTAATTTGGACAAGAAAACCTCGGAATCCGCAGACAACCTGCAGCAACACAGCTCTCCCCGACGGACCGGCTTAAAACGGGCGGTAAGTTAGTTCGCATCAATTTGCGAAGGTACATTTTGTGCAGTTCTTTTGTTTGACGTGGCTGTTAACTTACAGTACGCTCCAGAAGTTTTGCAACATGCCGACATTTGCGAAAGATTGATACTCCTTCGCTAATCGGCATTAACCCAGGTTGTAATGCTGATTATCGTGTATTCTATTCTGAAGTTATTTCAGTCATGATAGGATGGCGGCTTTTTAACGACCTTATTTCTGACCGCTAACAAAACGTATGTAAAAAGTAAAATCGTTAAAAGTAACTACTTAAATAGTGTGCGTTTTTTTCATTGATTTTGACTGCCTTTACAAATTCAAATATATTTCATGAAAAACGTAAACGGAAAAATAATTTCTTGGACTCGTTTGCTAGCAAATAACGCCTCCTTTAAATTTTATACTTCAAGAAAGGGTATCTTTCGGTTTAAAAAATTCTATTTATTAGCTTTTTTACGATTGTGAGGTGTTCATTCATAATACACCGTATCCGTCAGTTTATTAATGCTGCCTATACTGTATAAAGCATGTTCCTCACCTATTGCAACGTTTTATGAGAACTATGTGACTTCTTCCTCAAGCTGTAGGCGAAAACGTACTTTTCCAAAAAAAGGATGTACACAGTGCGCAGTTTGTAAACCTTGAATTCGAGTGTAGCAGTCAGTAGGTTTCGAAATTATTCGGCAATTTAGAAACTTTTTTAAGACTTAAAGATACCCTTTCTTTAAGTGTAAAATTTAAAGAAGGCCTAATTTGCTAACAACGAGTACAAGAACGATTTTTTCGTGTACGTTTTTCATAAAATAAACTTGAATTTATGAAGGCAGTCGAAATCAATGATAAATACCCATACTATTTAAGTAGTTCCTTTTTACAGTACGTACGTTTTGTTAGTGGTCAGAACGAAGCTCATTAAAAAGCCAGCATCCTATCCTGACTGTAATAACTTCATAATAGACTACACGATAATCAGTATCACAACCTGTGTCAATGTCGATTAGCGAAAGAGTATCAATCTTTCGAATATTTCGGCAGGTTGCACGAATTCTGGCGCGTACTGTATAGTTTGTGAACCTAATTTCCGATCCACTTATGTCTGTAAGTACTCCATACCCACTATGTCTCTTGACACTTTTTTTCCCCAATGATATGATTTCGGCTTTCGATCATCAAAAACAGCCCGTATGTTTTTTAGTTGCTTGTGTATTGCGGAAAATCCACTGGGTCGTCTGTATTACACAGTTCAGAAGACTCATTCCTCACAATTGACTAGAATAAATTTCCTCTGACCTTGCCTTTCTTTTAATAATTTGGTGTCGATACGATGCAAACAGAACTCTGTCTACATTCGATTAAGATAATAGACTCAAAACTTACTTTTCCTGAAAATACTCAGGATAAACCTTGTTATCCAGTCTAAATAATTTGGTGGTATATGAATCTTCTGTCGCCCAAAAATACGCGACGGACAGATCGGAAAGACATTCCCTTTTCTTTCTACAAGTGAAGGGTTTCGGCTGCGTTGCACCTCCGGAAGGAACGACGGTGTAGTTCTGCTTGCCTTTGCCTGTGTTACGGAAGCCATTCACATTTAAGCAACAAAGGGTTTCTGTCTATGCACATCGCCAAATTTTTTTTGAATTTATTTTTACGTACGGACAAAAGTTTATTGGACAAACGCAGAAGCAGTTTTGCACGCACACAGATGGATCTTTAATGCCAAAACAAGTTTGTCTGCCCTTCTATCGCATCCATTGTATGATAATGGTGGACATTCGATTCATCCCTCCTATGTGCCGTTGACCGAACTGCGCTCTTCGGGATCTGCTCACATAAACAGGGAACATCTAATTTTTGTAAGAAAATGAATTTCGTGGTAGACCTAGCTTCACCCTTCTACTCCCCAGTCTTCAATTGGTACACTCTTATATTAGCGTTAAGTTCATTTTTTCTCCTGTTTTGATCACTTTATGATAGATTATGCTGTGTTTGTGTTTCGGACTATAGCCTCGACGTTTTTACACCGGTTTGAGGAACAAAAGTGACCAAGTCTGTACCGATTACTCGTTTTCCATATTGTAAAGGATTGCGTAGTCTATAACCAGACACGTAGGGCCGGTCTGGTTCTGCTTACTTGGATTGTTTTAACTTCGTGTCTTTTTAATTGAATCAATAACTCTGAGACAATTTTTACGGTTCGATAGTTGGAGGGGATAAGAAAAAATAAATATTACGCTTATAAACAACGTCTCCAAACTTAGAAGCAGCGAGATAAAGTCAGTTTGCGCGGGAACAAGATGGGGAACTCAGCAAACAATAATAATAGGGGAGTTAGGGAAAACAAAACAGGTGCAATTACTCAGAAGGGGACAATCAACTACAGGATAAACAGCAGTGTGTTGACGAATGTAAAAATGTCATATAAATGGCTTGAACGTTAATGCCAAAGGTATAAACGGTAGCGTAACGCGTGTAGTGTTATAAGGGGCAAATTGTTGTTACTGTTGAATGGATGGAAACTGGGGGCGACAAGAGATAATACGTGGGAATGTACACATCTTATAAAGCAGTCGTAAACAGTTGAAAAGCAGTCTCTAACTTTACTGCTGCCAATGAATCCTGCTCACACGATTATTTTTGAAGTTTGTGCGGTGACCATCTGTTATAATGTTGCCACGGCCTAGATGTCGCCGTCCAATTACGTCTTGTTTGAATTCCCGAGGAACAATACAACAATAAGGGCAAAAAATTGTAAGTATACTAGCGTACCTAGCACAGCTTACGTTAGGAAAGCAAGGCGTCACGAGATCAGACCAATCAGATTGCGTCCTCATGTGAGGAGCGACTGGACTGTCTTTCTGACTCATCCAACAGTGCTACTCTTGACATCTGTCTTCGCGTCCTCACATGCACTATATGTGGTCGGATGGATAGCGTGGCGTGGAAGCGACTCGTCAGGGCTGCATGTGCGCGCGCGTCGGATAGGACGGCTCCTAACATTATCCATTCTTCTAGGCAGTTTCGTCCCTCTGGACGAAGATGTGGTAGTCCACAGTTCAAATTCTCCAACAAGAGCTGTTATGCTAGTCCGTTTCTTAGCGGTTGCTAGCATTTTTAGTCACCTCGTGCTCGTCGGTACGTGTCTTGATGTTGACATTTTTTGCACTTAGTCAGCCAACGTGATATGTCCCCAGGGCTACTAAGTAGAAGGAGACAAAGCCGGTCCTGATCGTAAGAGTCTTTATTCAGGCTAACACAGAGACAGCGGGAGGATGAATCAGCGTGTCCAGTACAGCCTATTAAGGTGCTGGTCCTTCTAGACTGTTCCTGGCCTATCGGACGAGAGGGGTAGTTCTGG